AAAATCTTTAATGTTTATGCTGATGCAATATGTGAGTGCTTATCATCAAAGTGTGCAGTAAAAAAATAAAATAAAAAAGGCAGCTTAGGAAATCTCCAGTGTTTCAAAGAAAGCACTTTTTAAAATGTTTATACATGAAGAACATTTAGCCATATTGTAAAATAAAAGAAGCACTGTAAGGTAAAGGGAGACTATTATAGATGGAGTTTTGTCCTCTTTGCCCCCGTACATGCTGCAACCACCTTTAACCTGCTGAAATTAATGGTTATGGATTTTTTTCCTTTTTTCCTCCTATTCAGTTCACATTTCAGGCTGTTTAGCAGATGCCTGTGAGTCTGGAGATTCAAATCGCTGGTGAAAGTTCATTCTCTGTTTCCTCAGTTTTTCAGGAGCTTTTCTCTGTAAGATGATTTCCTGCTGCTTGAAGTACCTTCTGTCTTCCTCATAAACAAGCACTAGATTCAAAAAGTACCTTACTGAAAATTTTTTGTTCACATCTCTCATTGTTGGTGTTGGGTCATATCCTGCTAAAAATACTCTTATTGGAATGGATTCACCTTTTACCTGTGCACTATCCATTATTTCATTTTTGGCGATAGTTTCTGTTTCCGTTGTAGTACTGAGTCCAATTCCTGTGATCTCTTTTGTGATCAGTTGTAACTCCATGTGTTGTATTTTTATTCTTACTAATAAGAAGTAAAGTTTTCCAACAATCACATCCTTTAAATGATACTGTGATTTATTATATTCAAACTCTATATGTAGACAATCTTCAGTGCCCACTTCCATTTTAATAGAGTTGTTAACAACAGGATAGGTGGCAAGTTGGTGAACAGTAAGATCATACTCTTTCACCATGTCCGTCAGTCTTCTCACTGTTGTCACCTTAAGAAAATACCTCAAGTGAACACTGGCACCAATGTAAGATTCACATGGCTCTTCAACTTGCATAAATTCAAAATCAGAACTTGTACTCTGAGTCAGCTCTCCAGGTAAAGCTAGTTCTTTCACTGGGTTTACAAATTCATGAGTATGACTCTTGTCATTGAAAAGTTCAATTTGACCTACGAATTCACTTCTAATTCCTTGGTGCTCTAGCCTCCTTCCAGGTTGCAGAAAGGCTTGGTTTACCTTTTCCGAAACAGACGCTCCATCATAGAAGAGACAGTGTTTTTCCACTTTGCCATCTTCAGTCTTCATCTCTGCCATTTTCCTTGCTCCCACATCAAGGACAGCATCAATCTCACAAATGGGATCAAAAAAGCTTCCAAGAAAACTCATTGTCAGCGCTGCCACTGCATTCCACGCACTGCACTCTTCCCTCAGAAAAACTCCGGCTCCCTCAACCCTGGTGCCCCATCAGGTGAACTGCAGCAGGGTTCCACTTTCCCCAAAGCCCAGCCGGCATTTGCTATTGGTTGATTTCTTGACACCAACAATTCTTTCTGGGGTGAGGTAGAATCTCAGGTTTGTTTTCATTTGCATCTCTTGAATGACCAGTGATGTTCCACATTTTTCATATGTTTATTTGCTATTTCTACTTCTTTGTGTGAGAAATGTTTATTCATTTCAGATGGTCATTTTTGGATTGGGTCTTTAAATTTGGGAGGTCTGATTTTTTTAAGTTCCTTATAGATTCAAGATAGTAGACCTTTGTCTGAGAGAGCACTGGTGAAAATTTTTTCCCACATTGTGGGTTGCCTCTTCACACTGCTGGGTTTCTGTTGCTGTGCAGAAGCTTTTTAGACAGAAGAGGTCCCACTTGTTGATTGTGCTAGTAGTTCACGGGCAACTGAGGTTTTGTTCATAAAATATTTTCATACACCAAAGTTTTCAAGAGTTCTATCTAACCTCTGTTCCAGCAGGTTTAGCATTTGTTTTAATACTTAGATCTTTAATCCATTTTGATTTTAGGTGAGCGGATGGTGAGAGATATAGGTCTAGTTTTAGTCTTTGGCAAGTTGAAACCTAATTTTTCCAGCACCATTTATTAAAGTGGCTGTCTTTCCTCCAGTGAGGGTGTTTGGCTCCTTAGTCAAAGATGAGGTGGCTGAGTGTGTCTGGAGTTGTTTCTGAGTCTTCTAATCTGTTCCACTGGTCCTCAGGTCTGTTTCTTTGCCAGTTCCATGATGTTTTTATGATACTAGCTTTGTTGTATAGTTTCAAGTTGGGGATTGCGGCACCCCCTGCCATGTCTCTGTAACCTAGAACTGCTTTTTCTATTCTCCATATCTTCTTATTCCAAATGAAATTTTGGATTGTTTTCTCAAGGTGCATGAAGTATGCTGCTGGGATTTCAATTGGGATTGCATTGAATCTATATAGCAGTTTTGAAAGTATGGCCATTTTCATTATGTTGATCCTTACTACCCAGGAGGAAGGGATGTCTTTCCATTTTCTGATATCATCTTCAATTTCTCTTTGCAAAGTGCTATAGTTTTCAGAGAAGAGGTCTTTGATTTCTTCTGTTAGGTTGATTCCCAGGTATTTCAGTTTTTGGCTCCTATTATGAAAGGAATTGCTTGCCCTATTTCTCTCTCAGTGAGTATGTTGTTCACGTAGAGGAAAACTATTGATTTTTGTGTGTTGACCTTGTAACCAGCTACTTTACTGAATTTGGTTATTAAGCCTAGAAGACTTTTAGTGAAGTTATTGGGGTCTTCTATATAGAGTATCATGTCATCTGCAAATAATGACAATTTGACCTCTTCATTTCCTATCTTTATTCCTTTTATTTCTTTCTCTTGTCTAATAGCTGTGGCTAATGTTTCCAGAACTATATTGAACAAGAGTGGTGATAATGGGCATCCTTGTCTTGTTCCTGATTTTAGTGTGAAGGATTTCAGTTTTTGACCATGTAGTATGATATTGGCTGCTGGTTTTTCAGAGATGGCTTTTATCAGATTGAGGTAGAGATCGTCTATTCCAAAATTTTTAGGGTTTTTATCATAAATGCGTGATGTAACTTATCAAATTCTTTTTCTACATCTATTGAGATGATCATATGGTTTTTGTCCTTGGCTCTACTGATACAGTATATTACATTTATTGATTTGTGTATGTTGAACCATCCCTGCATCTGGTGTATGAATCAAACTTGGTCAGGGTGTATGATCTTCTTGATGATCTTCTTCATTTTATTTGGCAGTATCTTATTAAGGATTTTTGCATCTAATGTTCATTAGTGAGATTGGCCTATAGTTCTCTTTTTCAGTTGGGTCTTTCTCTGATTTAGGTTTCACGGTGATACTTGCTTCCAGGAATGAATTCAGCAGCACTGCTTCCCTTTCAATTTCATTGAAGAGTTTAAACAATAGTGGCAGTAGTTCTCTAAATGTCTTGTAGAATTCAGTGGTGAACCCATGAGGACCCAGGCTTTTCTTAGTTGGTAAGTTTTTAATTACCTTTTCAATTTCATTCATATTGGGTTGTTTAGAATTTTTGGCCTTCTTTGTTCAACTTTGGTATTTCATACGTGTCTAAGAATCTGTCCATTTCTTCTGTGTTGTCCATCTTATTGGTGTATAGGTTCTTGAAGTAGGAATTGATGATCCTCTAGATTTCTGTTAGGTCCATTGTAATTTCACCCTTTTCATTCCTAATTGCATGGATTTGGGCCTTTTCTTTCCTTTTTCTGAAAAGGTTGGCCAAGGGTTTTTCAATTTTGTTTATTCCTTCAAAGAACCAACTCATGTCTTCATTGATTTTTTGTATTGTTTTCATAGTCTCCATTGCATTGTTTTCTGCTCTAATCTTTATAATTTCCTCCCTTGTATGAGTTTTGGGTTTGTCTTGCTCTTCTTCTTCTAGAAGCTTGAGGTTCAGGATCCCATTGTTTAATTGGGCTTGCAGTTTTCCTAACATGAGTATTCACTGCTATGAACTTCCCTCGCAAGACTGCTTTCACTGTGTCCCATAAATTCCGATACGTTGTATTGGCATTGTCATTTAATTGAGGGAACTGTCTGATTTCTTCTTTAAATTTCTCTGTAACCCATTGCTCATTCAGAAGTGTGTTGTTCAATTTCCATGTGTTTATGAAATTCTTGTGGTTTCTTTTGGTATTGCTCTCCAATTTCATCGCACTATGGTCTGATAATATACAGGGTATAATTTCAATTCTTTTGCACTTACTTAAACATGTTCTATGAAGGAGTATGTAGTCTAGTTTGGAGAATGACCTGTGTGCAGCAGAAAAGAATGTGTATTCTGATTTTACGGGGTGGAACACTCTGTAACATGTTAAGTTCATTTGTTCAAGAGTTTGATTGAGTTCTAATATTTCATTGCTTGTTTTATCTCTAGTTGATCTATCTATTTGTGAGAATGGGATATTGAGGTTCCCCACTACTATTGTATTAGTGTTTATATGATTTTTCATGTCCGTTAGTACTTGGTTTTTTTTCGGGGGGGGGGTACCAGGGATCGATCTCGGGTCCTTTCTCTTGCATAGCAGGCATAGAAAACACTGAGCTAAATCGCCAGCTAGTATTTGTTTTATATAGTTGGGCACACTAGTGTTTGGTGAACAGATATTTATGATTGTCACCTCTTCCTCTTGGATTGTTCTCTTTACAAGGATGTAGTGTCTTTCTTTGTTTCTCTTAATCCATGTGGGTTTGACATCCACATGATCTGTGAAGAGGATAGCTATTCCTGCTTTTTTTCAGGTTCCTGTCACATGGAGTATTGTTTTTCCCCCTTTAACTTTCAGTCTATGAGTTTCTTTTTGAATTATGTGTGTTTCTTCTGTGCAGCATAGTGTTGGATCTTGTTTCTTGACCCATTCTGCCAGTCTATTTCTTTTGATTGGTGAATTGACACTATTAACATTGATGGTAATAACTGACACGTATCGTCATCATTATCATGACTTTTTCTTCTTGTTGGATTCTCCCTCTTTGCTTTTAATTTCTTGTTGTGCCCAGTGGATTCATTTTGCTGGGCTTCCTGCGGTTGTGATCCTCATTGTTGTTTCCTAAGATACTGTCTAAAATTTTTTGGAGTGCTGGTTTGGTATTCTTGAAGTTCCTAAGGTGCTCTTTGTCATGAAAGTATCTTATTTCACAATCAATTTTGAAAGATAGTTTTGCAGGGTTCATGAATCTGGGTTGGAGATTGTTTTCCTTTAGGGCTTGAAATACATCACTCCAAGCTCTTCTTGCCTTGAGTGTTTGCAGTGAGAAGTCTGCTGTGATTCTGATGGGCTTTACTTTGTATGTGATTTGTTTCTTTTCTCTAACTGCTTGTAGAATTTTGTTCTTCTGTTGG